GCCAATCCTGCAGAATTCTAGGGGAAAGGGGGTTGTGTGACTTGGAGGGGGCATGGGGCGGTGCCCAGAGTTGTGCTTTAACACCAGGGACACCCATAATACTGGCTTTAACAAGCCCGTTGGACCTTTTAAGGAGAGAGTACAGCGCAAGCTTCTCCCTTTTTTACCACCTGTCTCTATCCGAGCCTTCACATGGCCCCATCCGAGCAGGGCTGGCGAGGAAGGAGAGGTTCCTTTGTTCAGATGAGCATTCAGTCGTGTAATCTAAACTTCAGGTATTTGTCCCCGTAAATAAGTGCTTTTCAGCCTAGCAGTCAAGATTAGCTTGGTAGACATGGAAAAAGAAACCTACAGCTCCACCTGCTGGCTGATATATTAAATTGGAAGTATTGAAGTCACGTTTCAGGGGCCAATGTGTGACAACATTTCCTAAACCTGCAATTATTTCTAAGCGTGTCACAGCCCCGCCTCCTGATGCACTTGCTGCACCCCCCCCCCCCCCCACCCCCACCCTCCCTGTGGTCCAGTGTGCTCACCCTGTAGCCCTTGAAGTTTTCAAACTTGGAGTCAAAGTGTTTCTGGTTGGCGTCTATGAGGATGGAGATGAGCTGCTTCTGTTCCTCACTCAGTGACCCAACTTCCGCCACCCGCTGCGTCCTCTGCAGGCGCTCCTGCTTCTTCCTCATCCTCAGCTCGCGCCGCGCCATCAGCGCCTCCTCCGTCATAATCACTGCAAACCACAACGCAGAATGTCATTGGCGCCATTATCACCTTATCAAATTTTGTGACAACGCTCACTCACTACGACTATGAAGGAGCAGTGTAGTCACCTTAGGACAGTAAGTGCTTTGGGATCATTGATCCTGCCAGAAATCCATGGAGCTAATATCCTGTGCTCTCTGCCTCTACCTGATCAATACGTATTTTTTTGCACTTATAGAAAAGATAAATATACCGTTGAAAATGTTTCTTTTTAACAGAGAAATAGAAAACTAGTTCATTGTTAGGTTTTACATACACTATGGAGTTGATTTATAACAAGTGAAAGTGTACGGACTTTCATTCTGTGCAAAAGGGCCAAAAAAACAAAAAACAAATGTAAAGAGGCTACATCCTGTGCGGTTCGAATGTAAATCATTGATTTCTAGACAGAAAGTACGGCAGCTGGCCACTAGATGGAGCCACGTATAGGAATTCCTATGATGCTTAGCTCCATCTAGTGTCCAAATGACGTAATTATCATTTTAAATGATTGTGCCGTTCGAATGCAACTCATTGATTTAGAATGGAAAAATACAGCATTCGGCTACTAGATGGAACTAAGCATCACAGGAATTCCTATAAATAGCTCCACCTATTGGCCAAATGGCGGGATCAATGACTTACATTCGAACGGCACAGGATTTAGCCTGTTTACATTCACGTTTTTTTGCACACAGAACGAATGTACGCGCGCTTTTATTGGGTGTATTCTGTCTACGTCGACCCCTTTCCTTTCACTTTCCTCATTGATTTTGGAGCATTTCGCCAAAATGGCGAAATGCGATTTCCGCCAAAAAAATTATTTTTGGGGGGGAGCGAAAACTCAATTTTCGGGGTCGCCTGGAGAGCACTAGAGCCACAATCTCATCACCCGGCACTGGTAACAAAGCCATCCAATTGTAGATGCCATTTCCGCGTGCTGCTTGTCCCCCCCCCCCCAGTCGCCGACCCTTCCACCTATGTCAGAAGTCGCCGCACTGAACGCCGAACGTTTTTATGGCTGCCATGACATAAGTCCGTCGTGTCCTGGATTAAACCCGGATTTAATATTTTACACGCCGAGTTAAAATCAGAATATTAAACAACCGTGAGCGCCGGCGGCGGGACGATACGTGTTGATGTTTTCCATGTTCCTGCGTTTCCTGCGGACTCCTGTCACAATTTCCTATCCCCCTCCCCCCCTCTTCCCATCGCCATCCCCCCCGAGGTCCCCGGAGGCTTTTTTTTTTTTTTTTTAGGCCGCGTTGAGCTCCTAATCTTTCTATTCGCTGTCATCTCTGATGTTTACTGAACTGACATCAAAGGATTTCGCAGGTATAAACAGCGGCGGGAGGCGAACGGGCACCGGGCCTATTTTTAGACTCGGAACGCGCGATTGGCGTCTTTTCTGATCCGCGGGAAGAATATGGTGTTGGAAGGATCCGGTGCGGAGGTGGATCAGTGTGAAAAGCAATTGTTGTGTCTCTGATTACTGTTGGAGGGGATGATTAGTGGCTGTTCATTTAATTGACATTCTTGTAGGCGATTTGTGCGCGCGGGGCGCGCCTCCGAGCGGGCGCGCCACGTCCCCTCGATACATGGATCGGGTTATAATCAGATACTAAAAGTAATACAATGTAATCAAATTGTTACTGTTATCTTCTGATTAAAGATGGGGACCAAGTGATATAATGGGGATGGGCAACAGAGCTTGCACTTAGGCGCTCATGTGCACCAGGTGCGAATGCACGCTCAACACAGTTGGCTATGCTCACAGATTTCCATTGGGTTGCATTGAGTTGATGCATACGCGTTGCCGTCCCGTAACATGCGCTGCGTCAGGCGGATGAACTTCCCGAAAAAGAGACCCGAATCTTTTTGAACCCCCTTAGTGCGTTAAGACCCATGCGTTGACGCAACGCACCCCAGCGGAAATGTGAGAACCGAGCCATCGGCCCTCTTTGGCACGGACGTAGCGTGGTGGATCACTAGGTCAGCTGCGGTCAGCTTGGCATTAGCAGGCCATAAGCCACCTTTGGCATGCCTATTAGAAGAGGGATTTACCTCGGTACTGCCCCCCGACTGGATTCATCGGACGTGGATGCATCATGGTTGCAGCGTGGCCCCATTCAACCGATTCACCTCTATGACCAGGATTCCACATTGAAAGACCTCTTCGCCCCAACCGCGTTCATTGGATGCGGTTGCATCACGGTTGCGGCGTGGCCCTATTCACCTTTATACTCAGGATTTCACACTGAAATACCTCTTCACTGCACCCCAGATGCATCCCTTGGACGCAATTGCGTCATGTTTGCGTCACGGCGCCATTCGCCTCTAGGTCACTGAAATATCTCTTCGCCACCCCCAAACTATGTCCATTGGACACGGTTGCCTCATGCGTGACCCCATTCACCTCTATGCTCAGGATTTCACACTGAACGACTTCTTCACTGCGCAACAAATGCATCCATTGGACACGGTTACCTCATGATTGCGACGTGGCCCCATTCACCTCTGAAATATCTCTTCGCACACCCCCAAACTATGTTCATTGGACACGGTTGCCTCATGCGTGACCCCATTCACCTCTATGCTCAGAATTTCACACTGAAATACTTCCTCACTGCGCAACAAATGCATCTATTGGACACGATTGCGTCACGTTTGGGTCACGGTGCCATTCACCTCTAGACCACTGAAATACCTTTTTGCCACCCCCAAACCATGTCCATTGGACACGGTTGCCTCATAAATGCGGTGTTGCCCCATTCACCTCTATGCTCAGGATTTCACACTGAACGACTTCTTCACTGCGCAACAAATGCATCCATTGGACATGGTTGCCTCATGATTGTGACGTGGCCCCATTCACCTCTGAAATATCTCTTCGCCACCCCCCAAACTATGTCCATTGGACACGGTTGCCTCATGCGTGACCCCATTCACCTCTATGCTCAGAATTTCACACTGAAATATTTCTTCACTGCCCCCCAAACCATGTTTATTGGATGCAGCTGCACCATGGTTGCATTGGGGCCCCATTCACCTCTATGCTATGGATTTCACACGGAAACCTCTTCAGCGCACCAACGTCGCCCATTGAATTGCCACTGCATCATGGTTGCAGCGTGGCCTCACATTGAAATACCTTTTCACTGCCCTCAAGCCATGTCCATTGGATGTGGTTGCAGCATAGTTGTGGCGCGGCACCGTTCACCGCTATGCACAGGATTTCACACTGAAATGCCTCTTCTCTGCACCCAAACCGCATCCATTGCATCACTGTTGCGGTGGCGCAACCCTATGCCCTTATATGTGGTCGCAACAATGTGGCAGTCCAGCAGTCATTGCTTGGTTCTGATTAACAACGCGCCTCAGCCACTGGGTTTGGCTGTCTTACATTGTCCATATGAAAAAGGCCTTAGAGTGTCCTTGCAGCGAATAGTACCTGATGTGAATGAGCCCTCAATAAAGATCACCTGTCTGAGTGTAAGCTCTGTGGCCCAATTTCACATAATCACACAGTGGAAGACGCATTTCATGCCGCAATGCACCTTCCATAAATATCACCTACGTGCATGTCCACCAGCAAGGGTGTGTAGGGGCGCCATTCGGAAATAATAAGTGCCACGCATTACCGCAACACTAATGTGTTAACCGAGCCTAAATTTCTGTTCGTGTGCCACGTCTATGGGTATAAAAATCCAGACTTGATTCAACCAACCAGTACCAGGCACATGATTTTTTTTTTCTTCAGATGACTGGGTGGGCTTTAGTGGCGCTGCGGTGTTGCGGCGTTGCCTGGACAGCATTAGCGGCCCACCGATTGATGGAAGCGCCTGTTTAAACTTGAAGGTATAACCCACAGCGGCGGCTTCTGGGATTTACAAATGGAGACCCTGGCGGCTCGACAATCAATTTTCTAATGGACTGTCAGGGCTCCGCGTGCGGCTCAGCGGCCGGTGATTGCTCTGGGCCAAGGGGGCCGAATTTGTACTCCATTAAAAAGCGCTTACGGTTTAATGGTTCCATCTCAGATCTCCGAAATGTCAAGTAATGGGATTTGCCGCCAGGGAGGGGAATAGCTGGAAACTTTTATTTAAAAAAAAAAATAATAGATCTTACTGGGGGCCGGAGAGGGAGCTTAAAGGGCCACCAGACACCAATGTATAAAATGATGATGGGCTAGAGGAGGGAAGTATTTCTGAATGCACGCCTGACTTCCTGTCTATTAATATCATAGAGAAATACCACTGACGGTCACCTTCAATTCTGAGCTCCATCCTCAAGGTGTACCTGCTCCTCCCCTTCAGTTTTGTAAAGGTGCACCGACTCCTCCCCTTCAGTTTTGTACAGGTGTACCGACTCCTCCCCTTCAGTCTTGTACAGGTGTACCGGCTCCTCCCCTTCAGTCTTGCACAGGTGTACCGGTTCCTCCACTTCAGTCTTGCACAGGTGTCCCGGCTCCTCCCCTTCAGTCTTGCACAGGTGTCCCGGCTCCTCCCCATCAGTCTTGTACAGGTGTACTGGCTCCTCCCCATCAGTCTTTTACAGGTGTACTGGCTCCTCCTCTTCAGTCTTGCACAGGTGTGCTGGCTCCTCCCCTTCAGTCTTGCACAGGTGTAGCGGCTCCTCCCATTCAGTCTTGCACAGGTGTACCGGCTCCTCCCCTTCAGTCTTGCACAGGTGTACTGGCTCCTCCCCTTCAGTCTTCCACAGCTCCTCCTGGACTGAAACGGCTTCCTCTGATTTCACCGCACACTGTAAGCGTCTCACAATGTGCACTAGAAGCAGCAGCCAGTCAGATAGAGCTCCGCCTCATTTCCTGGCTGGAGGACATCCAGCATCATCTAGTACCTTCCTCCCCAGCCTGACTGTCCCTGGCCCCGCCCCTTTCACTGGATTTCAGTTCTTTCAATCATGGAGGCTCAGTATCACATGTGGGCGTTACCTATTCAGCCTGCCTAGGAACGCCCACTCCTCCAGACTGATACCCATCAAGGCATTTTGATATTTGCATATCTCCACCCACTGCCTGCATCAGCACTGAGGCCTTTGCTGGGTTGTGCAATGTTTTCAGAAAGCTGTGTACAGCACTCTGCTAGCCCCTCCCACCAGCCATGATCTGCCTGCATTGCATAGAGAAGCACAGAGACCCGATGATGAGATCACTGGTGCATTTTGGTTTGAGTGGGGTGTCCAAATGAAATGCGCTAAGGCAGCAAAAATCACTCCACTCATCCAAAACTCATCCAAAGAGTTGACAAGGAACATGCTGACGGTAAGAGTAAGCAGAGAGATGACCTCATCGGTCTGCTGCCCCTTCTTCCTTGTCCAATCAGCAGCAGGAGGCAGGGACCTCCCTGTATTTCTTAACTGCAGCAGAGAAAAGTCTGGTCACCATTCTGGCCGCGCTGAGTCACGGACTGTGTATATCTTAGGACTGGATGGACAGAAATACAAATTCTTTGGCCGGTCAGACAACCCAATATGCCTATTTTTAACCTAATTTATTAGCTGTTTGCCTGGAGTTCCCCTTTAAGCCTTCTTGAGTCTAAAATGGCAGTTTGCCCTGAACAATGGCCGTTACATAATGTCAGAACCCTAGTGCCACACACACAGGCTGTACTCACTGTCTCTCCTCATCCCCACATCCAGGCACTTCTGTAGCCGGCACGCCTGGCACCGCCTACGCTTGGCTTTGGTGACCGGACAGGACCGCGTGAATGGACAGGTAAACGTTAACCCTTTGCTCATTGAACGTCTGGGAGAAGGAAAGAAAAACAGACATTCACTAAGGGCATTAAGAGGTGGGGGTCCTGGTGGGACCAATCCTTAAAGAGGGCATGATGGGTGATTCCTACATATTAAGAGGTGGGGGTCTTGGTGGGACCAGTACATAAAATTACCATGATGGGCGATCCCTATATGTTAAGAGGTGGGGTCTTGGTGGGACCAATCCATAAATTTACCATGATGGGCGATCCCTACATATTAAGAGGTGGGGTCTTGGTGGGACCAATGCATAAATTTACCATGATGGGTGATCCCTACATATTAAGAGGTGGGGTCTTGGTGGAACCAATCCATAAAATGACCATGATGGGTGATCCCTACATATTAAGAGGTGGGGGTCTTGGTGGGACCTATCCATAAAGTGGGCATGATGGGCAATCCCTACATATAAGGAGGTGGGGGGTCTTGGTGGGACCAATCCATAAAATGACCATGATGGGTGATACCTACTTATTAGGAGGTGGGGGTCTTGGTGGGACCAATCCATAAAATGACCATGATGGCTGATCCCTACATATTAAGAGGTGGAGTCTTGGTGGGTCCAATCCATAAGGTGGGCATGATGGCTGATCCCTACATATTAACAGGTGGGGTCTTGGTGGGACCAATCCATAAAGTTGGCATGATGGGCGATCCCTTAATTTTAGGAAGTGGGGTCTGGTTGGACCAGTCCATAAGGTGGGCATGATGGGCGATCCCTACATATTAACAGGTGGGGTCCTGGTGGGTTCAATCCATAAAATGGGCATGATGGACAATCACTACATATTAGGAGGTGGGGTTTTGGTGGCACCAATCCATAAAATGGGCATGATGGGCGACCCCTACATAATAATAGGGGGAAGTCTTGGTGGGACTAATCCATAAAGCGGGCATAATGTGCAATCCCTACATACTAAGAGATGGGGTCTTGGTGGGTCTAATCCATAAAGTGGGCATGATGGGTGTTCCCTACATATTAGGAGGTGGAGTCCTGGTGGAAGCAATCCATAAAATGGGCGTAGTGGGCAGTCCATACATATTAGGAGGTAGGGTCTTGGTGGGATCTCTTGGTAAAGTGGATGTGATTGGATCAAACCCACCTGGAAAGTGGGAGGATGAAATGCAGACATTGGTGATAATAGTGTCCCAGGGTCCGGGACCATGATGTTGGTAGGTATGCATTACCTGAAGAAGCCTTTGCAGCCCTCGCAGGTCAGGACGTGGAAGTGATACCCATTAGCCCGATCGCCACACACGGCACAGATCTTTTCCTCTGCATCGGGGTCCTCGCTCTCTCCGGCCCTCAGGCACAGGATGGATGTAGCCACAGAACTGCAGCTGCTGTTACTGTCCTCCTCGAAGACAGAGTACATGGTGGGGCTCCAGTCCTGCTGGATATTGGACCCATCCAGGTCCTGGCTGTTCATCTCAGACCTGAGAGAAGAAAATAAAAAAAGAAAAAATAATTCATTTTTTTTTAAGTTGAGATTTGCAGAGGAGCAGAGGGTTCAAGGGTACAGAACTCTAGATCTAACAATACACCTACAGGATAAAAATGCTGTACAAGCTGGATCAGTCTTTCCCAACCAGGGTTCCAAAGACATCTAGGGTTCCTTCAAAGGTTCTAGAGGTTCCTGAGCAATGAGTGACTTCTGCCTCCCAACCACTGATGCCAATTAACTATTCAGGTATCTGTATTCCTCCCACTGATCACCAATGTAAGGGACATTCTTCCCACTGACCCCCAATGTAAGGGACATTCTTCCCACTGATCACCAATGTAAGGGACATTCTTCCCACCGACCACCAATGGAAGGGACATTCTTCCCACTGATCACCAATGTAAGGGACATTCTTCCCACTGATCACCAATGTAAGGGACATTCTTCCCACTGATCACCAATGTAAGGGACATTCTTCCCACCGACCACCAATGGAAGGGACATTCTTCCCACTGACCCCCAATGTAAGGGACAGTCTTCTCACTGATCCCAATGTAAGGGACAGTCTTCTCACTGAACCCCAATGTAAGGGACATTCTTCCCACTGACCGCCAATGTAAGGGGCATTCTTCCCACTGACCCCCAATGTAAGGGACATTCTTCCCACTGACCCCCAATGTAAGGGACATTCTTCCCACCGACCACCAATGGAAGGGACATTCTTCCCACTGACCACCAACGTAAGGGACATTCTTCCCACTGACTGCCAATGTAAGGGACATTCTTCCCACTGACCCCCAATGTAAGGGACATTCTTCCCACTGATCACCAATGGAAGGGACATTCTTCCCACTGACCACCAACGTAAGGGACATTCTTCCCACTGACCCCCAATGTAAGGGACATTCTTCCCACTGACCACCAACGTAAGGGACATTCTTCCCACTGACCACCAATGTAAGGGACATTCTTCCCACTGATCACCAACGTAAGGGACATTCTTCCCACTGACCACCAATGTAAGGGACATTCTTCCCACTGGCCACCAATGTAAGGGGCATTCTTCCCACTGACCACCAATGTAAGGGACATTCTTCCCACTGATCACCAATGTAAGGGACATTCTTCCCACTGGCCACCAATGTAAGGAACATTCTTCCCACTGACCACCAATGTAAGGGACATTCTTCCCACTGACCACCAACGTAAGGGACATTCTTCCCACTGACCACCAATGTAAGGGACATTCTTCCCACTGACCACCAACGTAAGGGACATTCTTCCCACTGACCACCAACGTAAGGGACATTCTTCCCACTGACCACCAACATAAGGGACATTCTTCCCACTGACCCCCAATGTAAGGGACATTCTTCCCACTGATCACCAATGTAAGGGACATTCTTCTCACTGACCACCAATGTAAGGGACATTCTTCCCACTGACCACCAATGTAAGGGACATTCTTCCCACTGACCACCAATGTAAGGGACATTCTTCCCACTGATCACCAATGTAATAGCATTCTTGCCACTGACAACCAATGTAAAGGGACATTCTTCCCACTGACCACCAATGTAAGGGACATTCTTCCCACTGATCTCCAATGTAAGGGACATTCTTCCCACTGACCCCCAATGTAAGGGACATTCTTCCCACTGATCACCAATGTAAGAAGCATTCTTCCCACTGACCACCAATGTAAGGGACATTCTTCCCACTGACCCCAATGTAAGGGACATTCTTCCCACTGACCACCAATGTAAGGGACATTCTTCCCACTGATCACCAATGTAAGGGACATTCTTCTCACTGACCACCAATGTAAGGGACATTCTTCCCACTGACCACCAATGTAAGGGACATTCTTCCCACTGACAACCAATGTAATAGCATTGTTGCCACTGACAACCAATGTAATAGCATTCTTGCCACTGACCACCAATGTAAGGGACATTCTTCCCACTGACCCCCAATGTAAGGGACATTCTTCCTACTGGCCACCAATGTAATAGCATTCTTCCCACTGGCCACCAATGTAAGGAGCATTCTTCCCACTGACCCCCAATGTAAGAAACATTCTTCTTCCCACTGACCCCCAATGTAAGGGACATTCTTCCCACTGACCCCCAATGTAAGGGACATTCTTCCCACTGACCACCAATGTAAGGGACATTCTTCCCACTGACCCCCAATGTAAGGGACGTTCTTCCCACTGACCACCAATGTAAGGGACATTCTTCCCACTGACCACCAATGTAAGGGACGTTCTTCCCACTGATCACCAATGTAAGGGACGTTCTTCCCACTGACCCCCAATGTAAGGGACGTTCTTCCCACTGATCACCAATGTAAGGGACGTTCTTCCCACTGACCCCCAATGTAAGGGACATTCTTCCCACTGATCACCAATGTAAGGAGCATTCTTCCCACTGACCACCAATGTAAGGGACATTCTTCCCACTG